TGACACTAAATGAATGGCAGTGCTGGTAAGAATTCCCAGCTTTTCTCCTTTCAAATATTCATCCCTCCTGCCAAAGCCTTCATGTATTATTAGCTCCTACCATAGCTGTTGTATCACAGCGAAATATTTACTTTAAAAAAGTAAGTTTAATCAGAAAAACAGTCAAAAAGAACAATCCAAAAGCCCCTTATCAGATACAAAACTACTCACACAAATGTTGACTGAATGCTAACAGGCTTTCTGGTTCCCTTCATGTGCTGCATGGGATGGCACAGCGTGTTGTCATTGGAGAACTGACTATCTCAGAGGGCTAATGATGGATTGACAGGAATTTTTCCACTCCCAAGCTTGTTTATTCCCAGTTTTATATATGGCACCTTGGAACAACAGAAAGCTGGCATGAAGTGAAAGTAGTAGTGAGTATAGATTTCAATCTGGGACTTCTGTACCAGAGTGCCTTTTTAATAAAGGTGTAATAATCGGGAGAGAATATAGTTTTTTCTTGCCTGTTTCCTCTTACCCTTTTATGGTTCCTCCTGTTTTTTTCTCATGTCCTGGGTCATCTGCACTGATGATTAAAAAAGCTGGGAGGAGTGGCCAATCCCCAGAGAGCTGTGAACCCCTTCAGAAGGACCTCAAGATGTTGGAGAAATGGGCAGAGAGGAGTTGGCTGAAATTCAACAAAGGCAAATGCAGCGTCCTGCACCTGGGGAGGAACAAACCCAGCACCAGCACAGGCTGGGGGGGACCTGCTGGAGAGGAGAAGGCCCTGGGGGTCCTGGGGAACAACCAGCTGTCCCTGCCCAGCCGTGTGTCCTGGGGGCCAAGGAGACCAATGGGATTCTGGGGGCATCAGGAAGAGCCTTGGAGCAGGGCAGGGAGGGGATCCTGCCCCTCTGGCCAGCCCTGGGCAGGCACATCTGCAGGGCTGGGCCCAGCTGGGGCTCCTCAGCACAGCAGGGCCAGGGAGCTCCTGCAGCGGGGCCAGCGCAGGCTGCGGAGATGCCCAAGGGCTGGAGCAGCTCTGGGAGCAGCAAAGGCTGAGGGAGCTGGGGCTGTTCAGCCTCCAGAGCAGAGCCTGAGAGGGGCCCTCCCCAGGGTGTGTCAGGGGCTGCAGGGAGGGGGCAGAGGCTGGAGCAGGCTCTGCTCGGGGGGCCCAGCAATGGCCCAAGAGGAATGGGCAGGAACTGATGCCCGGGAAGTTGCAGCTGGACAGGAGGAAGAACTTCTTTGCTGGGCAGTGACCCAGCCCTGGAGAGAGAGCAGAGAGGGTGTGGAGTCTCCTGACTGGAGATCTTGCAGAGCTGTGTGGACACAATCCTGTGCCATGTGCTGTGGGATGGCCCTGCTGGGCAGGGAGGTGGGACCAGCTGAGCCACTGTGGGCCCTTCCAGCCTGACCCTGTCTGGGATTCTCATTGTCTGCTGTTGATACAGTGGGGAAGAGTGTTCAGCCCTCTGCCATTTCTGAGGCAGCTGCTGGAATATCCATGGAGTTGGAATTGTGTTTCATCCCTTTCTTTGTACCTGTATCAATCAGTTTGGTCATAGCTGTTTTCTCTTGTTATATCATAAATACTCCAGTGCAGGTACCTGTGTGTAAAGCCCCATTCCTTCCTCTTGAGGGTGGGACAACACATTGTGTCTTAATTTGTGCTTTTACAGGTAGTTGGGCTGCTTAGATGTTTGAAGCCTACTTCCAAATAGAAGATAACCTTTTAAAATACAGGGAACTGAGGTATGCCAGGAATTTAAATCAGTGAGATTTTATGCAGGAAGTTAGAAAAACGTTGAACTACCTCAGCATTTACCTGGTACAAAATCAAGGCTTCTTTAGGACTTCAGTCACCTTTTCTTTTCCCTCACCAAACTACAAGTCCTTTGCATGCAAAACATGTTTTATATAAATTGAGACTTTTAGCTTCATAGCTTGAACAAAATCCATGGGCCTGTGAATGTATATTTTTGCTCTTAATCCTGATCTGTTTCAAGTGGAGCCTTGAGTCATTTGTTGTAGTGTGCTGTGCACTGTGTGACAGGTAAATAACTGTAGGCTCTCACCTACTGGTGTCTTCCCTCAACTGTCTGGAGCAGCTTGGTGACACTGGGTGGCAGTGCCTGTAAGGGACAGCTGAGGACAGAGGGAGTAGAAGCAATAAAACTGTGCAGTGAGAGCACACCAGTTCTTCCCCCAGAGGGTGGTTGGGCACTGAACAGGCTCCCCAGAGCAGTGGTCATGGCCCCAAACCTGACAGAGCTCAAGGAGTGTTTGGACAACGCTCTCAGGGACAGGGTGGGTTGTTGGAGTGTCCTGTGCAGGGCCAGGAGTTGGACTTGATCCTTGTGGGTCCTTCCAGCTCAGCATATTCTGTGAGTCTGTGATGTAGGGCATGAGGGTTACACAAGGCACTCTGCAGGAATAAAAAGAAACGCTCTATTGTGAATTGAATTATAAGGTTCATGGTCTAAGAGATGTGCCAGTGGCTGTGAGAGTGAGAGCAGAGGAGAGACTGCCAGAGCCTAAAGCATCTGGGGAGGGATCCCAGTTCCCCTCCTGCACAGCTCTTATCTCCAGACTGGTTTTACTTCATTTCCATTCAGCTTCATTGTCTAGGTTGGCATGCTAAGGGAGGTAGGTCATGGCATTATTGTTTGTGGATATGAAATACACTGCAAAGTGCTGTGGGATTTACCAAACTTTAATTTCCAACCAGCCCCAGTCACTGTGGGGTCCCAGCTGACCATGGATGGCAGGATTGGTTCAACTGGCATGAGCACGAGGTACTTCCAGTGTTTTAAAACCGGAGAGTTTCAAAAGCAGAGTGAGATGTGGTGCCCCCCAGGCAAAATACCTCCTTGTATAATACCTGAGAGATCAGCCCCCAGGACTTGAAACTGGGGCCGTAACCCACTGTCTGCAGGCAGAGGGGGCCAAATTTGATTGAGTCAGCACTAAGAATTGAGTTGACCCATGGAGAATCACAATCTGCACAGAATTAATTCAGCTTAAGCTTTTTTCCCCTGGATTTTTACAGTAATACCAGCAGAACATTGCAGCATTTGGACGGTCATAAAACAGAAACGCTCCAGCTTGAAAAATACTTTAGGCTGCTACTGAGATTAAAGCGAGCCCTGGGTGGCTGTATAACTGTCAGGCAAATCAAAGTGTGGCACGGGGTGCTGCGAGGGAAGATGTACTGGGGCTGTTTAACAAACTCCAAGTGCTGCTCACAAGTTTCCAGCGGGATTGCACAGGACCCTTCAGGAGGGAAGACGGATCACGACCAGATGTCCAGGAGCGATGAAGATGCACCGTCCAGTGAGCTCCTCACCCACATGGATTAGGGCTCTTTGCAGGAATCCACAGGCTTGGCTCTTCACTTCTGTGATAAAGACAGGAAAAGCACTGAGGTGCAAATGAGAAATATAAACTGAGAGCATTATTGATGGGGAAAAGGCAGTCCCCACGCTGCATGAGTCATGTAATCCACAATGCTTTGCAAGCTTCATTTGAGAGAAGCAGAGGTGCATGGAGGATGGTTTCAATTTCCAAGCAGTGCTTTCTGACCACTCATGCTTTTGAAAAGTAAAAATAATATCTTGGCTCAGAAATGACTGCAAAGCAGAGGTATTCTGCTTTTGGCCCATTGCCTGCTCACCCTCTTGAAGTGAAGCTTATGTATTGTGATGGAAACATAACAGCTTCCCCTGCCAAGGAACAGGTCATTCCTACTGGAGCCTGTGAACGAGGAGTTATTGCTGCAAGTAGAAAAGCTGAACCAAATGGAATCAAAGAGAATGAATTCTGGATAAATTTGCACTTTGGAGTTACACCTGAATTTCTTTTAATAGGAAAATTCTTTTGACTTGCTTTGGGTCCCTGTCCTGGTGAAAGCATCCCAAAAGTACTCATTACAAAAGAGATTCAGCCTGATTTTGAGGCCAAATGCACTTCTTCAGAGGTGCTTTGCTGGTGTTTTAACCATGAACCTTTATACTCAGAGCATGTTCTCCCACAACAGTAGATGCTTGATATTCTTTAGTACCAGTATGTAAGAGATACTGAAAATGAGGATTTCAGGCTTCCTTGCTGGGAGACAGCCAAAATATCAAAACTCTGATACATGTAATAGAAAATTAAATAAATCAATTGATACTGAATATCTCTCAGCCTGTATCTAAAAATACAAGAAGACCAAGTCTGAGATGGGAGAGTGAGGAAGGTGAAGTGTGTAAATACATGGAAACACAGAAAACAGGTAAAGGCAATATATCATCTGGTGAAGCAATTCATCTGTTAAAAAACATCATTGCAGAATCATCACAGAATGGTTTGGGTTGGAAGGGACCTCAAAGATGATCTTTTCCCAATTCCCTGCCATGGACAGGGACACCTTCCACTAGCCCAGGTTGCTCCAAGCCCTGTCCAACCTGGCCTTGGACACTTCCAGGGATCAAAGGGCAGCCACAGCTTCTCTGGGCAATTCTTCCCTGTGAGGGCCTTACCACCCTCACAGGGAGGAATTTCTTCCCAATATCCCATCTATCCCTGCCCTCTGGCAGTGGGAAGCCATTCGCCCTTTTCTTGTCACTACGAGCTCTTGTAAATAATCTCTCTCCATCTTTCCTGTCACCTCCCAAACATAAAGCTTAGCAAAAAAATAGGGATAAGACATGAGTGAAAAGGAGAATTTAGAAGTATAAGAAATACTAAGAATAACTGCAGAAAAATTAAGTGAGGGGAATTTTATTGGTGAAAATGAGAATTTTATCTAACAGGATGATTTTTTCTCTTAAGGAAACAAAGATCAAGCAATTCAAACTAGCACACTGATTAGTGCTCTGTCCTGTGCACTGAGGTTTGAGGAGGTCGTACTCAGAGCCCCTGCATATTCTGTGTTGTCACAGTGACAGAAGAGCTGTACATTCCCCAGGGAGCTGTGGCATCTTGTATCCATGGAAGAGGAGGCAAGGCTGGAAAGCAAAGGCAGGATTTTGCTTTCCTTTTGGCAAAGGCTGGCTAGAGCAAGGCAAGCTTGGTAGTAGCTCTGATTTAAGGTAACTTTGCTCATGTCCAAAAAATCCATAATGATCCTCCAGTGACTTTCCTGGGGCTGGGATTTACCATGAAGAGCACAGTGCACAGCAACCCCGAGGGCATGTTCAGAGAGAGGGGCAGGCTGGGCACTGCCCAAGGGCTCTCTGCTCAGTCCCTGTGTGCATGTACTGGAAACACTTCAGCTCTGGAGTTCAGGCATCAGGACAGGAGGATTTCTGTGGTGCTTCAGATATACTGGAATCCGAGGGCCTGTAGTGTGAAAGATGCCCAAGATACCTCAGTGGGCAGGGCTGTGCTGTGTCAGCTCGGGAAATATTTACTCCATCCTATAAAACAGGGAGCACTGATACTACCAGGAAAAGTTCATTAGCAAAATGGACTATTGATTTTGTGTTGCACAACTATTTGTATGATTTTGAATGGATTTTCATCTGTGTAAAGAAATTAAGTTCTGTGTGAAAGTTGAATTATCAGTGTGAGCTTTGAGGAACTGCTGAGTCTCCATGGTAGCACCCAAGACTTCTCATGGTTGGTTGTATGTACACAATGCTCTGCTTATACATCAAATATACAAGAGATAAATACATAAAAAATACAAGAGATATAAGCAAATTACTGTGTACATATCCTTTTTCCTGAGGTAAGATTTAGATTGGCTGTTAGGAGGAAATTCTTCCTAATTTGAGGGTGATGAGGCCCTGGCACAGGTTGCCCAGAGAAGCTGTGGCTGCCCCTGGATCCCTGGAAGTGTCCAAGGCCGGGTTGGACGGGGCCTGGAGCAACCTGGGCTAGTGGAAGGTGTCCCTGCCCATGGCAGGGGGTGGAATGAGATGATCTTTAAGGTCCCTTCCAACACAAACCATTCTGTGATTCTGTGATGATTCTCTGACTCTGGCCATGACTGTAGGAGGAACCTTTCTCTAAATACTCAGTAACAGCCCTGAATGATGATTTCTGGATGTTTTTTTCAGTAACACTGAGGTGATAAAGCTGGACAATGTCTGAATTACCTCTGCTGAAACCCAAGGAGTTATTCTGTAGCTGATGGTGAGACTGAAACCATTAAAGCCCGTTGGTTGGTCAGTTGTATTTTGTGAGAACCACAGAAGTCTGGCCTATGGGTTTGGATTCTTTGCCAAAGTACTTTGAAGCATTAAGGGGAGGAGAAGGTACTGGAAAATGTGATCCTGGTGAATACATACAGGGCAAGGTTTGCTTCTGTATCCTCAAGAAATGAGGAGCCATGCGAATGTAACTTTGAGCGGGGTCTAGAGGTTTTGGTCCTGTCTAGGTATAAAACAGCTGAAGGAATGCCATGGACTTCACAGAAGGACAATAATCTGGGAAATCTACTTTAAAAAAAAGCATAAAGTGCCATAAAACTTGCCTTGATTCAAGAGAGAGCTATGGAAATAGAACAAGATTCACAAGTAATTCGTCTCAAGCTGTAGACTGGTGTGTATGACTCCACAGCAAGAACATTAATATCTGTTAAATTCTCCACATTAGCTTAAACATTCCAGAGAAAGGATGTAATTCTCAGTTGTATAGGGAAGGAATTCACCCTTCCCCCAGTCCTTCTGCTTCCTGGGGACTCTAGAGAAATGCTAATATCAAGTCAACCTATTTTTGTTCCCCCTTTAGTAATTGGGTCAAGATTGGTAGTGACTGAAATACAGTCCCATCAGAGGAGTTTGATGTGAGGGATCAGGAAGGGCTGGTTGCCATTGGGGTGGTGGATGCTGAGTGTCCAACCCAAGCTGGCAACTCACTCACAGGCTTCACAGAGCTTTGAATTTCAATTCACATGATGGTTTGTGGAGCATTGTTCACCTCCCACTGAGGCAAAGCTTGTAAGCTTGTAAGCTGCTTGTACTTAAAAATAAGTAGAGATGCAGTACTAAGCTGAGTAATTCTTTAATCTATCCTGACTCCTTTTTTTCACTTTTATTAACCAGGCTACTGCCAGGATTAATTAGGTTTGGGGAAGATTTTAGCTTGTTTTGACCAAGTGTCTAATGGAACATGAAGCAAGGAAACAGATTGTGTCTGTGGCAAAGAACAGTGGGGAATGGGGAGGAGAAGCACCGAGAGGAGGTTTTGCAGGAGTCACAAAATGAGTAGAATAAACAGATTTCAAACCTGTCCAGTGTACCTGGCCTTGTGTTCAGCCCCTTAGATGGTCAGCGGTGCCATCTTGTGTTAAGTGGGTGGTATTTTTGGGAAAAGATGGATAGAGATTCCTACCAGCCCTTGGGAAAGGGTTCTAGAAGAGCTCTTGAAAACTCCTGGTGTGAAATGAGAAGAATAGTGAAGCCCAGAAGTCAATGAGACAGAAAGGCAGAGGATGACCATATATATAAATATATATATATGTCAGCACATATATTTATATATATATATATATATAAAATATTTTATATATATATACATAAAAATATTTGTAGTTGAGACACTGGTGTTCAAGGCAGTTTAACAGATTTTTCATTTAAACTGTGACATTTTCCATACTGGTACAAATGACAGCAATACATGTTGTGGATGCATAGGGGTTTCTCTGAAAACAATCATTGTTGTCAAGCACTGGAAGGGGCTGCCCAGGGAGATGGTGGAGTCCCCATCCCTGGAGGTGTTCAAGGAGTGACTGGACATGGACTCAGTGCCCTGGGCTGGGGGACAGGGTGGGGATCAGGCACAGGGTGGATTTGATGATCTTGAAGGCCTTTTCCAACCTTAATGAGTCCATTATTCTATGTTTCTATATGGTGATGATTTTGCTGATGCATCTTCTTCCAGTGCTTGACAGAGAAGCAGGAAAACACTGATGCCTGCACTTTCCCAGCCCCTTCCCTGGGGATCTGTGTGAGGTTGTGGCTGCCCCAACTCTCTTGGATGTTTAACCATCACCACACTGGAGCCTTGCCAGGGCAGCCTGGGCAGTGGAGAGGATCCTGCTTCTTCTGGTTTGTTTTTTTTTCTTTAGATTCCTGAGGACCTTTTCCCAAGCTGGAACTCACAGATTTCATTGTAGATGAATTTGCATGTCCTCAACAATGGGATTTTCTATACCAAGTCCTTCTAGATCACTAACTGGCATTCCTACAGTACTCACACCAGCCCATGGCAAGGGAAATCCCGTGTTTTCTTGCAGAGTTATAAATTCCCCATGCCAGTGTAACATTTCTCTGCTTTACAACCTTAATGTTGTTGTCCTTTAGGATTATTTTTTGCATGCTTTCTTTATTGAAAGCTTTATTTCGGGCTGAGAAAGTTGGGACTATTCAGCCTGGAGAAAAGAAGACTGTGTAGAGACTTCATTAGACTGTGTGGAGAGCCTTTCCAGTATTGAAGGGGCTACAAGGAAGATAGTGAGGGGCTCTTCATTAGGAACTGTAGTGACAGGACAAGTGGGAATGGCTTCAAACTTCTAGAAGGCAGGGTTAGATGGGATATTTGGAAGAAATTCTTGACTGTGAGGGTGGTGAGGCCCTGGCACAGGTTGCCCAGAAAAGCCATGGCTTCCCCTGGATCCCTGGAAGTGTCCAAGGCCAGGTTGGATGGGGTTTAGAGCAACCTGGGCTAGTGGAAGGTGTCCCTGCCCATGGCAGGGGGTGAATGAGATGGTCTTTAAGGTCCCTTCCAACCCAAAACATTCCATGATTCTATGATTTGTACACCAGCTCCACAGTTATTTTGCATTCTTGCATATCTGCAGAGCAGTGGCCCTTTGCCCAGCAGGTGCCCTCTCTGAGCTCGCCCCTCGTGGCCTGTGCTGTGCAGGTTCTATGAGTATGGGTGATTCCCAACCCAACCCCCACGCACTTGGCAGGTCAGTTGGTGTTCTGTGATGGCCTCATCCAGCACCTGGGGAGGTGGGAAGGGGAATTTTGGGGGTCCAGGAGGAGGCTGGTAAGAGGTGGTGCTCATATGTACACCCCACCACGTGCTTGCTGCTCCACCCCTGTAAAGAGAGACAGAAATGAAGTGATCAACTTACAGGGTCACAGAATCATTAAGGTTGGAAAAGACCTCCAAGATCATCAAGTCCCCCCTGTGCCCCATCCCCACCTTGTCCCCAGCCCAGAGCACTCAGTGCCACGGCCAGGCCTTCCTTGGACACCTCCAGGGGTGGGGACTCCAACACCTCCCTGGGCAGCCCCTGCCAGTGCCTGAACACCCTTTCCAGGGAGAAATTCCTCCTCATGTCCAACCTGACCCTCCCCTGGCACAGCTGGAGGCCGTTCCCTCTCCTCCTGTCCCTTGTTCCCTGGCAGCAGAGCCCGACCCCCCCTGGGGCTCCCCCCTCCTGTCAGGGGGTTGCAGAGCCAGAAGGTCCCCCCTGAGCCTCCTTTTCTCCAGGCTGAGCCCCCCCAGCTCCCTCAGCTGCTCCTGCTGCTCCAGCCCCTTCCCAGCTCCGTTCCCTTCCCTGCACACGCTCCAGGCCCTCCATGTCTCTCTTCCATGAGGGCCCAGAACTGGACACAGCCCTGGAGGGGCCTCAGCAGGGCCAGCACAGGGACAGTCACTGCCCTGGCCCTGCTGCCACACCATGGCTGGCACAGCCCAGGGGCCATTGGCCTCTTGCCCCCCTGGGCTCCCCTGGGCTCATGTCCAGCCCCTGGCACCAGCACCCCCAGGGCCTTTCCCAACAGGCACTTTCCAGCCACTCTGCCCCAGCCTGGAGCTGCAGGGGCTTGTTGTGACCCAAATGTAGGGCCTGGCACTTGGCCTTGTTGAACCTCTCACTGTTGGCCTTGGCCCATAGATCCAGCCTGTCCAGATACCTCTGCAGAACCTTTCTGCTTTCCAGAAGATCAATGCTCCTGCCCAAAGCCCATGGGTTTTGTTTTTGTTTGTTTGTTTGTTTTTTGGTTTTTTGTTTGGTCGGTTTTGGTTTTTAGTTGTTGTTGTTTTTGTTGGTTTTTGGGTTTTTTTTGTTGTTGTTTTCATTTTTTGCCCTGTGGAAAAGATAATTTTCTACCCAAAAGCTGCCAGAATG